CCCGGGCACGCACGAGCAGGCGCGCGACAGGAGTGTCACGCTCGACTAGATGCACACGCGCGCAGGCGCACATCTGCGCTCGCTGCCCAGAGTCGGGGCCTCTCTCTGCAGCCACCCTTTTCCCCGCTCAATCTAGACTCTCCTGTCTTTCCGCAGAGATCGTGAAAGGTCTAGAACAGGGTTTGTCAACCTCGCCATTATGGACATTTTGTTCTGGATAACTGTGATGGGGGCTGCCCTGTGCATTCTTTTAGGACATTGGGCAGCATACCTGATCTCCACCCACTATTTACCAGTAGCACCCTCCTCCCAAGTGACCCCTAGGGGATGGGAAGGTGGGAGGGATGCCCCTGGTTCAGAACCACTAATATACAATAATGGTTCTCAACCTAGACTGGACATGATAATAAACAGGGAGCTTTTAAAAAGACATCGATGGTGGAGCCCTACCCCAGAACACTTCAGTCTCTCCGTTGAGCTCAGGAAGCTTAAAAAAAAAAAAAAAAGCACTTCCCAAGTGATTGTCAAATGCATCCACGATTGTGAAACACCGTGTTCGAGAAAATTTCTATTGATTTTGCAAACTTTTACACATCACAGGGAAGTAGTTCAAGCCTGGACTCTATTCCTAGCTCTGCTCCTCACAGGAGCCCTGTTTCCTCCACTGTAAAATTGCATCAGAAGTCAGATCTTTACTCATATTTGGGTACTATTAGGTGAGATCATGCATACAGCATGCTTTACACATTGACATTAACAAGCTGAGAATTACTGGGTCTTACGAATAGGCTCCAAAGAACAGATTTCATAAACTGGCTTTTAAAAATGTTTCCTGAGGTTTTTCTTAGAGCCTCTTGCATTGGGACTCAGCTCTGCCGCTTATAAGCACTTGAATAAGTCACTTAAAGTTCCTATGCCTCAATTTCCCCCATCTTACTCATTTCACAGGGTTGCTGGGAAGATCGTAAAGCAACTAGCAGCGCACACTATAGGTGTCCATTGTTTTCACTCTGAATTGTCAGTGCAATCTGAACCAAAAAAAGTCACATAATAGGGCTTCATACCTCAGAGATCTGTTGCCCACCCCACTCCCCAGCACCCCAGTTTCAGTGGGGGTCAGAAATGTAAAGAAGTAACTGCAATGCGGTGTGAAAATGCAAAAAAGCATTCACCTTTTAAATATCTAAATTACATCATGTTGCTCTTTGGCTTAAAACTTGAACTAAGATCCAACCTCCTTATCATCTCTTTATCATGGCTTACCAAGGCCCTGCTCCATCTATGGTCCCCCTCAACTGCCTGGGCTCCAGCCACTCTGTGCTTTGGAACATGCTGAGTGCGTTCCCACTGCAGGGTTTTGAGGTTTGCGGTTCTCTATCTGCAGCTCTTTTCTCCTCGTTCTTCGTAGAGTTAGTTCCTTCTTTTCCTTAGAGGAGCTCACCTGAGTCACCTCCCTCCACTCATCTAAGGAGGAGCCCTCCTTCCATTTAAGTAATAACTCTCCTCACTGTCACCTCTCTAAATCAGCACCCTGGCTATTTCTTTCAGAGAACTGTTCTTCCCAGGAGGTACAGAGACCCGGGTTCCAGGTCTTTGTTCTTCATTCTAATTAGATACAAACCTTGCAGGATTGTGAGGTGGACTGTATGAGACACTGTGAGCAGAGGCTGTGCACGCAGGTGCCCCAAAGTTAAGTAGCTGTTGTGATCTTTAACAATATCTGGTATTAAAGGCCAATCAGCCCATGCCTACCTCAACAAACCTCCCATCCTACCATTGCCCCACAAAGACCCTCAGTGCCAGCCACACTCAGCTACATACAGTCCCCAGGAAATACCAGGGTGTTTTGAGGCCTTTATGTATCCTGTTCTCTTTGTTTGGAGGACTCCTATTCACCTTTCAAGATTCAGCTCAAAAGCCACCTCCCCCACAAAGCCATAATGTTTAACCCCCTTCCCCTGCTTTAGTATATGTTGTTCCAGTCTGCGCCCAGCTTTGTCCCCGTCAGCCACGTCTGATTTGTCTGTGTGCTCCAGCCTCCAGCACAGGGAAGGTGTTGTCTGAGTGGTCGCTGATTGAAAGACTGGGTGACTTGCTGATTATGGAGGAATTCCTGAGTGAAGGCAACAAGGTGCAGTGGAAGGCTCTGTGGACTCAGAGGCAGAGGCCAGAAGGTTCCAGCTGGGGCTTCGGCCCTTGCTATGTGCCTCGGGCTAGCCCACAGGCCTCACTGCCCTCACCTTTCCAGCCAAAGGCTAATGCACACCCGAGCTGTCTCTCTCCACCACAGCAGCTCAGCACTGTTGACTGATGCCTTACCCCTTCGAATTTGCCTCCATGTCCACCAGGTCTGCTGGGCTGTCACTCTTCCTATCAGCTGGGACAGCAGAGGCCAAAGTGGCACCGGAGCTGAGGAAAGAAGCACACAGGCCTGCTGAGGCCTCAGACCAAAGGAGACTGGGGACCCAGGTCTTTCCCTTCCCAGCTGCCTTCTCATGAGACAGGGGGGTGCTATATATGTCAGTAAAGGCTTGCCTCTCATTCCTGCCATTCGTGTGGCACAGATACCACTGTGTGTGATAACATCTTGAGAGTCCTGGCTGTGGCCTTAGCACCTGAGTCCAAGACAAAGCACTACCCGTGACCAGCTCCAAGGCCCTGAGGAAGTCTCCTGATTTTGGATTCCAGGTCCCTGCCTGACCTACGAGTCTTGGGAGTCCAGAAGGATTGTCCCTTCCTAAATGCTCCGCACACTTACAGCAAAGCGGCCACTCCCGCTGGTGGACTGGTAGATGAAATAGGACAGAAGCCGGCAGCCTGAGAATGCGCCACCTCTTCCCATTTCACCTCCATGCCCCTGGAGCCATGTGCCCTCCCCAGCCACCTCCACGTGCGCCCTGGGGTTCCTCCCTGACTCCTGCTTGCTAGGCTAGGCTGCAGTCCCTACAGGAGAGGTTCACTGAGACCTCCTCAGCAGGGTCTCTTCCCAAGCTCTACCTCCCGATGTCCTCCTTCAGCTACCTCGGCTTAGGTCTCTGTGCATAGGTGCTGGGCTGTGGATTCCCTGACTTATCACCCGTCCCTCTCCCCCAGTGTCTCTAGCTGCAGGTCAGAGGCCCTCTCAACCTTCCCTCTCCTGCGGTGATCACCCAATAGGAAGGTGGCATGGAACTGAGAAGTGTAAGGGAGATTCTGGGGCACTGGAGCTAAGGCCGAACCCTGAAGGCTGTGTGTGGCAATGAGGATGGCCACCGGATGGTTGCCCCACTTTTACCTGGTGGCCACCGGTCCAGGTTTACGAGGCTGAGAGTTGGCACCGTGCACGTCCAGATCATCCAGGAGAGGGGAGAAGCCAGCAACTGAGCACGCCCTGTGGAGGGAGGCCAAACCCGGTCTGGGTTCAGGTCTTTGTGTCTGCATATCTACTCCCGTGTGAGAGGGTGGCTTCTGTCCCTGACAGGCCACGGAGACTGAGGAGTTGTTCAAACAGATGCTCAGGGCGCAATATTCATATCTCACAGCTACCTAAGATCAGGATAGCGTAGCTCAGCGGTTGAGTCTATGCTCCTTGTAGGCACGTTGAGCAGATTCGACTCACTGCTTTACCACTTCCCGGCTGTGTGACCTCGGACACATCACCTGATCTCTTTGGGCCTCAGTTTTATCATTAGTGAAATGAGGATAACTGTGTCCTCCTCATAAGTTTTCTTTCTTTTTTTATTTAACAGTTACAGCACCTGGTCTTCCTAGGTGGTCTCCCATCCAAGTACTAACCAGGCCCGACCCTGCTTAGCTTCCGAGATCAGACGGGATCAGGCATGTTCAAGGTGGCATGGCCGTAGACTCGTAAGTTTTCTGAGAAGAGTAAATGAGTTAATAGACACCAAGTACTTAGAATAATGCCTGGGCCTGTTGTTATTATTGGGCCCTGTGGCTGTTTGCAGCTATCTATATCCACAAAGTTGACACAGATTCAGTGGGTGCTTTCCTCGGTGGTAGACCACATTCTCTGTGTTTCGGGCAGACTGATGCTAACGGCACACCAAGCAGTCACAGTTCACAGGGCACCTTAGCACTTGCAAAAGCCTGCACCCTTCACTTATGTAGCACACTCACTAAGTTGCTGGCGTTTGTTCCCAAACCTATTACACCAGTTGTACTTGCGACCGTCATCACTAAATTCAATTATTAAGTAAACTCATGAAAATTAATGGAAAAAGAGAGTGGCTGTTTCTTCCACAAGAAACGATGTTTTCTTTGGAAGGACAGTACAAGCAAGTTTCTTAGAAATCATTGTCAAAATCAGTATAGGTAAGACAAAGACAAAGACTAGGTTAAAAATCATAGAAATCTAGATGGTTCTTCAGCTTATTTGGCAAGTTCATTTGAGCTGTGGCTGCGTTTTTAAAAAAACCGAAAGCGGAAAGCAAAAACTTCATTTCATGAGGGGGTGTAAGCAAGGAGAATGATCTGGATGAATATTCAAAGAACCAGACCCAATCACATTGGACCACATCTTCCACGACAGCCATCAGCCAATCAGGTCAATCTGCACAACTCGCTGGCAGTACACAGCGATGCAGGCGTTGGTTCTCCCACAGCCCTCCCCACAAGTGGCAGCTCGAAGAACTGAGACCTCAGCCCAGTGGCCTTTCCTGGCACCTGCCGAGGCACAGTGGTCAGAGGCTGGGGCCTGCTGTTCCCTCCCGTCTCGGCTTGGGCTTCTGGATTTGTAATTTGGGGCTCTGGGTCCAGGCATCAGTTGCAAACTAGTCAAGTTAGCGAGAGCGGAGGGCCGCCAGTGGGCTCAGGGACGCAGGGGCAGCCGCGAGGGCCGGTGGGGAAAGCAGTCGGCAGGGGCTCCTTCGGATGCCCTCTGAGGCCGGACCACCCCTGGGCAGGGTGTTGGCAGGCAGGGTGCTGGCAGGCAGCATGTGGTCAGGCTCTCTGAAGTCACTGGATTTGCCATTCCTTTCTGGCCATCCTTTCTGAAATATAAGGGTCGTAGCACAGCGTGGAGCTGAACAACCTATGCCAACATCTGCATGCCTAGCCTTTGTCCCCAAGGATGACTCATGCTTGGTTTGGAACCACTTGGGGACAGCTGGGATCTTGCTACTCCCTAAATCAGTTGAGAAAGAGGCCTCTGACTCCACCCAGGTCTGAGAACTTAGAGCCCAGCTTGTGTCACTGGGAACACTTTTTTGTCTCAGTGAAGTTCAGAGCAGAGATAGGGAAGAGAGTGAAAAGGAGGCTTTGGGATTTCTAGAAGGGAAGGAAGAAAGCAAGGATGAAGGACATCCTTCTAGCTTGTTCCCAGAGCTCAGCCAAGAAGCAGGAAGGCGCCTATTCACCCATCATTTGGTCATTCATTTGTTGGTTTGTCCCTTCACTCATTCCCCACACATCCATCCTACCTACTTGGTGCCCACCCAGGCGGGGGATGGACCTCCAGTTGCAAGTGGGCCCTTGTGCCTCCTCTGGAGGAGCTTGAGAGCCAGCGGCAGAAGGAAGGAAGAGAAGACTCAAACATAGGTAATACCCAGAAGTGGGAAGCCCAGCGACATGATGGGGGCGGGGGTGCCGAAGATGTCAGAAGCAGTAGGGAAATGACCAGTGCTCAGCCCCCAACGGCCCAAGCAGTTTTGGCAGCTTGACCCTGACCCGTCACCATGGATGTGAGAGAATCAACAACTCAGGGCCACCTGCCTCCCCTGGGCAGCTCACCCTCCTCTCCCAGAACCGATGTCTGCTCCAGCCAAGCCTTCAAGTGGGGAGCTGGTGGCTCTGGATCTCACGTTGCCATCCCTTGACTGTGCACTTGACCTGTTATGGAAAGAGAAGCATTTACTGAGTCTGATTGGGTGTCGATCTAATCTAACTCGGATGTCTTGGGAGTAGGCCTCAAGGACCAGAAGCTCAAGCCCTTGGCTGCCACCATGAGATGCTCCAACTGCAACCAAGCGAACATCAGCAGGTATTTCCGCTTTTGCTCCAAAGCTTTAGGGCTGGGAGCAGGAGTGGAGCGAAGGCACAGAGCAAGATGGCAGCTCAGGAGCGGGCTGGCGCGATGCAGGGCCAATGGCCAACAAAACGAGGGGCAGACACTTGGGGCCACTAATAAACCATAGAGCTCAGGGCAGAGACGAAGCTCCCCTACCATCCTGGGTCCCCTTCCCTCATTCCCAAGCTGAGTCCCGACTAGGGGTGTGGGGCTCCACACAGAGGACGTGGTGGGCTCTTAGCCACCACTGGCTACACTTCCTCCTGAGGAAATGCCCAACTGTCAGCCACCGCTCACCGCACCCAGGCTCCCCTGGTCAGTGAGATGGTCGTGCGATGGCCGGGCACGGCCACCCGCTCTGGACCCATCATTCCTCGCCACGCCTCCACCTCCCATCCTTTCCCCCACCATGTCTCCCTTTGTCTACAGGTCATCCCAGAAGTCCCTGCTATGTGCTCTGCTGAGGCCCACAAATCCTTTGGTCACCGACTTTCCCAAACTGATGGCTTGGTGGCCTTGCTTGGCCTGTCCATTGGCAGGGCTGCTTTCAATGGAGTAGAAGCACAGTGAGGTTGGGCCCAGGGCTGGGGCAGGGGTGGCCTGGCCTGGAGCTTTTTCTTTCTCTGTACCCGGCTCCCTCATGCATTCCTTTACTCATTCATCCGACAGATATTCACTGAGGACACAGGGAGTGGGCAGTCCCTGTCCCAGCTCCACCCGTGCACCTTGGACCGAGGGCCGTGTGAACTCTGTGTCGTGCACTGAGTTACCTTTCAGAGTCTGGGCTGGGACCCTTGAAGTCCTCCTCTGCAGCCAGGTCTCTCTTGGGCTCTCTGGGGCTGGCGGCTTCCTTGTCTTTGGAGTCTGGGGAAGACCTGTGGAGGAAAGAAGCAGAAGTTAACCACCCAGCTGCCAGCCACACGCAGGTGGAGGCAGTGATCTCATCCCCAAAGGCCAGCTGTCTCCAAAGGGTTTAAAACTTGATACTGGGAGATTGGTTGATTCCTACAATCTCAGTGCTGATGACGACTGTTGATGAAGGGCCGGACCCCACTGTCCTGACTCTGCAGGCATCACCTCTCCACAACAGCCCTGGGACAGGGCCACTGCTGTTATCCACGCCGACTTTCCAGATGAGCAAAAGGAGGCACGGAGAGCCCAGGTTACTTACCCTGAGTTCCTGAGGTAACAAGGGGAAGAGCTGGGATCTGAACCCAAGCGGACAGACTTTAGAGTGCTGGACCATAATCCTCTGTGGCGTAAGACTGACCCTAACCTAATTCAACCTCCCTCTCGTCTCTGAGGTCATCAAGGAGCCCCATGAGGTCAGAGCTGACACAGACACTGTTGTCATTATTGCCATTCAAGACCACTGACCCAGCGGGATGACCCCAGCTTCTCTCTCCCATCCGTCCACCGTGACTCTGTGACACCGCCCCCGACCTCCTGTGCCATACTTCCTCGGTCTCCTCTCCATCTGCAGGCTCCATCACCTTGGCCACCTTCTCTGCCCCCGTGGCATCAACTGTCCCCCTTGAGCCAATGACCTACGCCTGTTCCCACCTCTCCTCTGTGCTCCTGACCCATACCCCCACTGCCTCGCGCCCCCACTGCCTCGCAGACTGACCCTCCGGCAGCTAACACTGAACCTGGCCAGACCTGAGTACCCTCCTCCAGCTACCCTCAGGGTCGATGACCAGACAGCTGCGCCCTCCACACTGGGGTCTGTGCCCAGCTCGCTGGACCCTGTCCTTGACTTCCTTGACATTGTACCCCATGTAAACATCGACACCGAGCCCCATAATTTTGGCTCGTTCATCTGCATATAACATGGAAATTTCTAGAGCCCTGACTCTTCTCTCAAACCTCAACCACAAACCCTCAAACGCCTCCTGGTTATCTGCATCTGGATGCCTACAAATCATCTCATCATATAGCCATGCCAAAGATACTAGGTACATCACCCCTCCCTGCCCCCTCCCCTCCCAGATCTCCACTAGCGTAGTGAGCCATGGAGCAAAAGCTGCAGGGTGGGAGTTGGGCAACCTAGGTGGGAGCCTGGGTCTGGCTGCTCTCGGCCGAGTGAGCCATCAGAGTTTATTTCCTCACCTGTGAAATGGACACAGTGACTGTACGCGCATCTGCATGTGGACACCTGCTAGGCTGTTTGGGGCGGGGCTTGAAGAAGTCTAGCTTTTGCTCCAACCTGATTCTCCCGCTGGAAAGTGGGAGAGGGGTGCTCTCGGGTTCTCCACGGGCTGGGGTAGCTTGGCCACTCCCAGACCAAGTGTCAGAGGCCTTATGGCTTCCGCCTACATTTTGAAGGAGGGTCCCTTTGCCCTTTTTCTCAAAGACCGGTCACCTTAGGGAGACCAATGAAGCAGCTTCCAGCGTTGCCTTACTAAAGACATCGTCACTGCGATGATTCTCGATCATTCCAGTAACAAACTTGCACTCCTGTCCTGGGCTGAGGCCCAAAGGGCATGAAGCTTCTGCCCTCTGGGCACTCAGGGTCCTTGGGGCAGACTGATTCGTGAGAGGACAACTGTATGGAACATTCTCTGGTGGAGGCAGGAACACGGTGCTGTGTGAGCTCAGCAGGA